CACAAAGTTTTAGAATCTTAAGAAAGTGTCAGAACAAATTTGACTGTCTTATTTTTGAAATGTTTTTTATCCAAGAACTGAAACCGACGCTTAACAAAGAGTGCGATTCAATTCGCGCCAAATTATTTGTTTAGAGTAGTTCTTGTTAACATTGTTTTATCTATTATAACTTGTTTTTAACTTATTTATGCTAATTTAGAGAACTTTTATACACTTGAAAATGACCTCGGAGAGGTCGAAACGTCGTGATTTTTTATCGCTAATATTTATCTCAAAATCGATTTCTAAGAAACTACTTATTATTATTATTATTATTATTTATTATTATTAAATCTCAGCCTAAAACGACGAAGACTAACAATTAGCAAAAAGCTTTGTTTCATGTTTTTTTGTTCTTTTGTTTTACGTCATTTGTGTCCGGAACACGAAGTTAATGCCCCTACTGGTATTACTGCTCTTTTCACAAACATGTGAACTCTAAAGTTCAAAAGCCTTCTTATAGAGCGTATTCACTCACGTGGTGAATATCTATGCAAATTTATCGGAACAAAAGAAGTTTCTTATATAAGTATGGCTGCCTTGACGTCTGTGAATACGCTCTATAGTCTTCACAATAGCGCTTTCCGCTGCCGTCAATCATAATTAAGATCACAAGGAAGGGATCTTGAAACACAGAAACACACAAAACGGATCGAAATTCACCAATCACAGATCACAGACCATGACCTTTTGAACCCATTTAAGTAAAGTTCTGTTTCTTCAGAGGTTCGCTAAAAAAAAAAAAAGAGAAAGAAAAACGCAAGCACCAGTTGGGTTTTGAACTTCAGAGTTCGCTTGTTTTTGAAAAGCGCGGTAGAATCGCAAAGGCATCATTCTTCCGGCTCCGTTAACATTCTGTTCTAAAACTTTCCTCGTTGAAACGCGCTACGCGACTATGGCGATCGATGTGGAAACCTACGTGGTGTAAGAAAACACCTGCAAAGAGTCACCCAGCTCTTCTGCTTCGCTGATAGACCAGAAATTTATTGTCTGGCCCATCAAAAGTAGGCAATTCAAACTCCGGTAAGAGTAAGTGCCCAGGGCCTGGTTGCATGAAACGCCCGTAAAAGTTACGGGTATACGTACGCGTACTCGTAACTTAAGTGACTTGCATTAAATCACTTAAGTGGTCCACTTAGGGAATTCAGTCATTTGGCTGCAATTACGATTTTCGTAAGTGATCACTTAATATAAGAGTCCTTTATGAATGGAAATTGCGGGTGTTACACAAAACTTCATTTACGGGAAAAATAGCACGTAAATTTAGGGGACCTATGTAGGTCCCGTATCCTTACTGTATTTATTAAAGCTAAAGAGATCTTTCACTGAGAAGTGAAAAAAAAGTCTGCGCGCTTTGTTAACCTCAAAGAAATATTTTATATCGAAGTTTTTTTTTTTGTTTTTTTTTTTAAATGATGAAACATTTTCTTCTGCTGATATAATATTTTATCTGAGTAAAAACTGCTTTTCCCTATTCATTAAGCAGGTGGCTTAAAAGTGTTCGGAACGACTAGACACTCTCTTTACACTCACCGATGGTTAAAAAGGAAAAAAAGAGTGGGTCATTAACAAATAAAGTACTTATAACAAAGTTACGTGTGCCCTTAACTGAGCCCGTAAGTTATCACGCACTGAAAACACAAATTTACTTGAGTGCTAAGTGCTACCATGTAACACCCGTAAGTGTACCCATAACGGATTCGTAAGCCACCTAGCTACTTAAGTGCGGGTTTTATGGAACCGAGCCCAGGGGCTCTTCTCGATCACATAGTAAACTTTCACCTCGAACATTCTGTCGTCCAGATTAGCAGTTCCTGGGTCTCCGAGGATGGTGTCATCTAAACACTTCTTACTTTTTCAAAGGAAATTTTACAATCGACTAAATGCTTGATCATCACAAGAAACTCAGCATGCACACTTGATGTATAAAGCTTGTAAAATTAAGTCACGTTATGTAGCAATGGATCCTATTGACCCTAGCAACTGTTACTAACCCACAAGTTGAAATATCATGTGTCAGGAGCCCATAACCCTGGGCTCCTGCATGTGTACAATAAATCAGACAAGAAATGATATATTAGTTGGTCGTGATTGGAACCAAACGCAATTCAACAATAATCGAACTCAGAATTACCATGGAGAATAAAAAGGTATACAAGATAAACAGTACAAACAACACTTTTTATACTAAATTAATGGAACACCCATTGCTGTGCCAAAACTTGAGTCAGAGGTAACCAACGACTGTTTTCGGTAAATTATCTGCTCGGAGAAGCAAATATTGCCTAGAATTTTCCTTGCTGGAGAAAGACTAAAAATGTTTAGATTACCGTTCCTTTCACGTACAATTTTCGATCTAATAACTTCCCTACGATTTTCTGAAGTTCAATTTCTCGCATTTTATACTCAGTCCCCCTAATTTTCGTAGAAAAACGAAACTTAAAATTTTCGGATCTAAAAATGCGATGGAGAGAGGTATAAAAAGAAATTATCACTTTCGTAAAACGTTAAATTACATCTAATATTTTATGGAAATAATTCTGAACTGAGCCCATGTAATTTCGAAAAGACTGGAAAGCGCCTCTTAGAATGCATTTCTAGAGATCTAAAAGTACTCTGGAAAACCTAAAACGAGTTTTCCCTATGTATTTAAGAGGAAACGGTCGTTGGGTGCCCTTGTTATGTCCGGTGGAACCTTACAATGGACTGAATGCTTGTGTTTTTCTATCGTTAGCGTACATAGCAGGCGCTTCATTAGCCAAGCGAGGTGAACGCGGCATTTTCAAAACAACGTGCGAAACGTGCGCGAAGCGCGAGACGAGACGAGGGGAGGAGAAAAATAAAGCGCTTGTTACCAGTCCATTGCTGTGGCTCTTCCGCCCTCCTACACCTACAAGTATTGACTGACGGCGGTAATATCAAAAGCACCAATCAAAACACGATCCATTACTCAAAAATTGTCGCCTTTCTGGCTACCAGAAACACCGACAGCAGCATTAATTATAAACCACCGCAAATAACTGCGAGGGCAAAAATCATCTTCAATAATCTAAGACTCAGTGCGGCAAAAGTAAGATTTGCTCAGTCAAAGTTTAGTTTATGTCCAACCACAGCGGCGAGAAAGAAAAGAGGGAAAACGTGTTGTTCAAACCAAATTCCAAGGTGACGAGCTTATGAACGCAACGTTCATGTGGTAAACGTGGGAAAAGCCACCACATTGGACTGGTAAGAGGCGCCTTATTTTCCTCCTCCCCTCGTCGCACGCTTCGCGCAAAATGCCGCGTTCGCCTCGCTTGGCTCATAAAGCGCCTGTTATGCAGGCTATTTTATTGTTTAAGAGCGACTGTCTGTAAATATCGACCAAAATCGACTTTTTGTGGCACAAGTTCAAAATTCGAATTTCGCTCATTTTTGGCTCATCGATAACCCTTAATGAGTAATGAAACATGCTGTAGTTAGTTTTCCCAAATAAGGAATTCTTTTGTTAAAATTCGAGAAAACTCGTTTTGCCCGTTCGCAGCTCAAAATCCACTTCCGGTAAAGCAAAATTTTACACAAATTCCATTGACTCGTACGTCAAACCACAACGATTTGGCAGCCTTTGTAGAAGACGAATAGTTTTTATGACCCCTTCTTTCTTATAAGACGATAAATTTGTGAAAGCTGTAATAAGTTTGTGGCCAAAAAGGTATTGTTAAAAACAGGCCCTATTGGCAATTTCTAACGTCCAAAATTATAGGGTTAAAATAATGTAAATTTTTACAATGCGCTATTACTTAGAATTTCGCAAATTGACTTTCTACTGCTTAACTAGGCCCCAATATATCAGAAAATCGAAACAAATCTCTGGGCAAACGATTTTAAGTAGCCCGCAAGACGCCGAGTTCAACCCTAATTTTGCGAAAAATCGCGACATTCCAGTGGTTAAAAATAGCGTGACACGGTCCGTCACGCCAGCGGTGTTAACGACAGATTCACTTTCAACATTCTATTCAACGCTGATCACATGCCAAATTCCAGCATACAATCTATATTACATCTTTCAATACACTTATCTTATTTAGAAGAGTCATTTTGTTTGGATACAATATATAGTGTAGAATTGCCCAAAAGTCGGCTTTTTTGAGCGACGTCGGCAAGACTTCGACGACCGGAGCCCAACGAAAACAAACTTTAAACAAGTACAGTGGTGTGTTTTATTAATTTAAACATGCGTCAAAAGGCATAAATACGTTAAATTTAAGACGGGGATAACCAATATTAACTAATTAGAACTCTTTTTTTTTTCTTGCGAGTTTTCTCTTTCAAGTAATTATGTATAAGTATAAATGTACGTTTCGATGTATTACTATCACGCTTATAAAGTTACATTGTAACGAACGTTTCAGAAAACATTTTAACTCGTTTCGATCGACGATGAAACACCATCATCAAAAACAAATCACCAAAAACTTTCCTCTACAGCAAAACGGAAAATAGAAAAAAAAAGTGTCGTTTTACTAATGCTAAAGCAGGAATAGTTGCAGCGAGATCATGAGCTTTTAAAAATGGCAAATGCTCCTAAATGGACATCTATAGATCCCTTGAATCACCATTGGAAAAAAAACTCTCTGGCCCACTATGAACTAGCCTATTCCAGGCGTAGTGGACAGTGGATAGTGGATAGTGGATGACAGTGGCGCGAAATGGGGAACGGAGGAAAACAAACGTGGAAGAGAGTAAGAGGGAGAGAGTAGGAGGACCTTTCGCCCTCTCTCCCTAACCCCGCCCCTTCGCCATTTTTTCTAGCCCACTTTTCTTTGCGTTTTCCCAACTACCTTAAGGCCAGTTACAGGTTAACTACCTCCTTCATTTACAAATTTTTATGTTATATACCGTATTTATTCGATTAACCACCCTGGGCACTTATTAAATTTTTGGACCTTGAGAGTGGGCGCTTATTCGAGGTGGGTGCTTATTCGAGGCTGGGCGCTTATTAAATTTTCGCCATTCTCAGCAAGTGTAGTATGTTAGTTTTGCAACAAAACAATAAATGGTAATAACAAAAAGCGGAGATGTAACAAAGCAAGGTTTCTGTTAAATGCTCTGAAGAAAACTCCGTCTTCGGGAGGGTCTCTTTATTACTTATTATCTCTTATTTGAGTTTGTGTGGGAGGGAGTGGGGTGGGGGTGGGCGCTTATTAACTTTGCTGCCTTTAGGATGGGCGCTTATTCGAGGTGGGCGCTAATTCGAGGTTGGGCGCTTATTCGAAGAAATGCGGTATTCAACTTGAGCGTCGAGCACTTTTGGCGCTCGTTATTGATCAGCAGGAACGGATTTGGTAGTACTAACTTTTCAACTGCTTTTAGACTGCGAAACTTTTTTTTTTCTTGTTTCTTTCTTTTGTTTTTTCTTTGTCATTTTCTATTGTATTTTTTAGACTTATTTTTCGATTCTCTCCCCAGTCTCACTCACCTCTCCCCTCCCCCGCCGTGCCCCCTCTGCTCCAGACAAGAAGGAACGACCATTTTGTTTTGGTCCAGACCATTACCTCGACTATTCCGCCTTCTTGGCTTACGCAAAAAGTACGGGCTGCTTTGTGGCCTGAAAGACTTTGCACTGATTGACGTTTTAGTGTCATGGAAACTCTAGCTGTAATACTGAACTGCAGATGACAGGTTAAAAGACTGAAAGTTCCTTTCAACAGCGTTTGGAAAGAGAACATCGTCTTTTCCGCAAAAAAATAAAACAACAACAACAACAAAAATAAAAATAGGGAAACAAAATAGAGTATAATACTAAACCTAAGAAGAACCTTGTAACGAACGAATGGGAACACCTAAAAAGGAAAGACAGACTTGAGGACTTTCCTCATCCTCCGTAACCTAATTAGTCCATGAAACTTAGACGCCCAAGCAGGCCTCCAAAACCTTACCTTTGTCTTTATCACAAACCGAATACTAGAAGACTGAAAACCCGACGGAAGAATTATTTGCAGCCGGCCCTCAAAACCCCAAGAGACTTCGCCTGCTGCTGGTCAATATGTAGGAAGGCTTTTCCAAAGAACTGCTCCAAAAAAACTATTTTTCTTAACATTTGTCTGGGGTAGAGGAATAGCGAGTTTTCTGTTGGTGTCTCTTAATAAGTAATTAGAGATATTGTAACGATCTGCCCTTGTTACGATCTATTATGCACTTAACAAGGCCCCTCAAAGTACTTAAGATATATGACGCATAGTCTGCGATACACCCGCCTCTCACTGCTCTTTGACGAAATGTCTCTGGCGACAAATAGCGATGAGAGGAAGCTTTATCGCAGGCTCTTGGCATCAAGGCTTTTCTACTATTTACATTGGTAAACCGGTCGCTTCACGGTTTGGGCAGTTGGTGAGGAGAATTCAGGACTGATTAATTTTGATTCCGTTCGCTAATCGCGTTTACCATTTTCCTAAGTCAGTTTCGTTTAATGAAAAACGGCCGCGAAAGCCTGAAACTAATATTCAAAAAAGGTTTGAAGACATGAAATCCGAACTTCCGCCTGGAAGTTTCCAACCAAGAAAATAGGCGATTGCCTTTTCAGACGTTCGTTTGTTTCGGGAATTTTCCACTGAAACGTGGAAAGCAACCCGAAACTAAGTTTTTTTCAGTTTTGAGAGCCCGCAAGGGTAAAAACGTCGAAAAGAACTATTCCACCAATACTTAGTCTAAAATATTTTTAGGCTTTAAAATTGCTTCAAGGAAATTAGAGTTTTTATAAACCAAATGGCATTGATTGGCGATGATTTAATTCCCAAATATCTCTCAATGCAAAAATTCATTCAGTAATCAGTTTTAGTTTTTAGATTTTGTTCTGTTTATATACCATTTTTTGAGGGAAATCGCCAGTCTGAAACTGAACATGAAAGTGTGTGACGCTATCCCAGGGACCCTAAATGTTGTATCTGAAGAAAATGCTGCAATCAATGAGAATAATAGGTTTACTGAAAGATTTAATTTCGAACTGGCTTTTAATCTGCCTTTAAGTAAATTGTTTAAAGCATATCTATCGGTAACACTGGCGTGACGGGCCGTGTAACGCTATTTTTAACCACGGCAATGTCGCGTTTTTTTTGCAAAATTAGGGTTGAACTCAACGTCTTGCGGGCTACTTAAAATCGTTTGCCCAGAGATTTGTTTCGATTTTCTGATAGATTGGGGCCTAGTTAAGCAGTAGAAAGTCAATTTGCGGAATTTTAAGTTATAGCGCATTGTAAAAATTTGCATTATTTTATCCCTATAATTTTGAACGGCAGAAATTGTCAATAGTGCCTATTTTTAACAATACCTTTTTGGCCACAAAATTATTACAGCTTTCACAAATTTATCGCCTTATAATAAAGAAAGGGTCATAAAAACTATTCGTGTTCTTCAAAGGCTGCCAAATCGTTGTGGTTTGACGTACGAGTCAATAGAATTTGTGTAAAATTTCGCTTTACCGGAAGTGGATTTTGAGCTCCGAACGGGCAAAATGAGTTTTCTCGAATTTTAACAAAAGAATTCGTTATTTGGGAAAACTAACTACAGCGTGTTTCATTACTCATTAAGGGTTATCGATGAACCAAATATGAGCGAAATCAAATTTTCAACTTGTGCCGACCGTGGGTCGATATTTACGGAAAGCCACTCTTAAGCGTTTTCATGTGTGGACGGGCAAACACGATTCAAATACGCCACGTGTGGACGCGTAAATAAAAAACGAATGTAAACACAGATCGGAGACCGGTCTGCGTCGCGTCGTAGACCTGTGTTTGGCACCATTTTTGCACAAAAACGAGTAAAAAAACCTGGAAAGTCTGTAATCGCTAAATTAAAATACATCTTCTTTTGATGTCCAGAAAATCGACTGAAAAAAACGACACTCGCAGACAGCTTCCGATCGTGTCACAAACCACCGCACGCGTACGTGCGTGCCGTTCAATTTAATTAATAAACTAAAGCCATGAATAAAACATAGAGTAATCAAAATGTTGAGTCATTTCGATGCTCTCTGCTTTGCAATACGTTTTAAAGTGATTTTTTTGGGGTGTAGTTTTTCTTTGAGTTCTGATGGTTTCTGCGTGCATGGGGATAAAAAAAGACAACGGGACTCAAGCGAGATAAAATACCTCAACCTCGTCAGGTGAAAAGTAACGGGTTCCAGCCAGGATTGTATAACGGTCTGTAACGTTATTTGGAAGAGAGTATGAGGTGCCAAAATTATTGTAGGAACCAGTATTCTGATTAGCATTATCAGCAATGTATATGTCATGGCCATCACCAAATGTTGGACCGTAACTTGAATAACGGTAAATTGCATATGATGAATAGACATGTTTTACCATGCTCTTAAATGGTGCAAGTCCTTCCTTGTCCACCAGAGAGAAAATAAACGACTTGGAAGTAGCAGCGAATTGATCCACAGACGCTAGAAAACAATAATAAACAGGGAAGAAAAACTTGAATTATAATTTAATATTTGCGGAGAGATGAGCCGCTGAGGGTTTGAAGCCCTGACCCTGTGTATTGGACAAAAAACTTAAAATATACATACCCTGTTTAGGATAAAGAACATGTACACTGCGCGGAATTAGGACAGACTCGGGCAAAATTATATAGTGAGCAATTCTTGCAAGGACCATCTGGACAAACAGCGGCGAGGGAAAGCCGGATCTTGTCGTAGATCAGGATCAGCAATATAAAATAACACTTAAAATTGAAGATAAGGGTGATCGGACAGCTAAGGATTACAAATTTATTTACCCAATATTTTGACTAGACAAAACTAGTCTTCTCCCCTTGATTCCTATAAGCCACGCCAGTGGAACGGTTATACGTAGACGATGTAAACCCGCGGTGAAAGGATTTTCTTAGCAAACTTAATTTCGCCACATTAGAAACGAAAAGGGAACTGGAGCCGAAATGCGTTCCGCAATTGTTTCTAGGATCGTTACTGTCCTAGTAACAGTCCCAGAAGTCTTTGCAAAAGTGAATTCGATCCAGGCTCCTTCTTGTTTCTAAAGTGGCATTGTAAACTATTAACCAATGACTCCTTAAAACTTCATAAAGAAAAATGCAAAGAGTGGAATAAAGGTTAAAATCTTTACTAACTTCCGAGAACCACGCTTAAAAGGGGTGGGTGGATGGGTCCGCTTGATATCCTTAACACAGCAGGCTCTTCTCTCCCCACCCTCACAAATTTTAGGGCTGTTCAAGATCCACAAAGAAGGAATTCCTTTACTGCAGGAGATTCTGTTTACGGCCCATTGTTAGAAATACAAGCTCTATTTCTTATAGCTGTGGCAAACAACTCGCTCGCTTAGCTGGTTATTCCCCGGTCCACAGCAGACAGTTTTTTAAGCAAGAGTAAGGTGTTATAGCTATGGGCTTACCAGTCTTTCCTTCGGTATATAATGGTTAAACAGAATAGTTACTTAAAAGGAAAGATTATTGTAACAGCAACCCCTGTTGGTGTTACAGGTACGCAAATGACACCCACTATTAAAAGACCTCTTCAAGTTTTCTGTTTGTTCCAATGAAGGTCCCAGGGGAATTTAACTTTAATTTAACAAACCAAAAAATACGAGCTCCAAATGTCTACTGACAAAACCATGTACAATAGACATGTCAAAGAGGTTGCTAATTATCCCAAATGCCGTGACTTGGACAATAAACCATAGTTAACTGTTGTTAGGGCCTTAATGTCATCGTAGCTAAAATGATTGTATTCACGTACTGTACGTACGTTTCTTGTCAGGTTTTTTTTTTTTTTTTGCAAATTCTTGTTTGTAATCAATTAACACAAAAGGGTAAAAAAAGGAAAAAAACAAACAAAACCAAAAATGCAAACACACCGACCGGAAGGGGATGCTTGTCGTCCTGCTAGATTTTGGTCGCATTATAGCGTGTCCAGGACAGAGAACTAATATTTTTATCCATATAGTTATCGCTTAAAGCAGCCCGTGAAAAAGACATCAAAAGAAAACTAGACTGCTAGTATCTCTTTTTTTTTCTTTTTTAAAGAAAAACAGATATACGCGAACCACGAGAACATAGCACCATAAAACCGAGCCATTTTTGTATATTTGCTCGCCGGGATAAGAACTCGACTGATATTAAACAAAAATGAGCGATTGTAAGCAGCCTAAACTGTATAAAGGACAACTAAACTGGCCACCTTTTTGTGTCAAATACTGCACTAAATTTTAATATATTTCGCAAAAGGCAATTTATAGCATTAAAGCTCTTGATGGGTTCTGGAATTGGTTGTTTGTTTTATTATATGTCAAATAGAGCCTAAGCCACCCAGTTTGGTGTCTTTTGGGGGTTTAATTTTAATTTTGCGGACTCCGTCCCTTTTATTGCCCCGCCCCCGGCGAAAAAGTCACTTACACCAAGAAATATCGGTGTATCCTCCGAACACGTACGGGTCTTTTCTGATGACCGTAATCGTATGGTTTTTCCCATCACATCTGCTATGGAAGGTACTGGCAGCCCAGCCATGAGTGGAGGCCTGCCAACACAGCGCCCAGTTGCTGTCATTCCCAAACGCAGGCGAAAGAAACTGCGTTACCACAGTTGAGATAATATCTAAGGGTGAAAGAGAAAAATGGAACTGATTTTTTTCACAGTCGTGTAAATTTGCTGGGGCAAGTAACCGGCTTCTGGTTGGGGACATTATCCAGCCATCCGCGTGCGCGAAACTTACGGGAAAACGTGTCGCAATTTTTCAGGGATAACTTTCCTCGAAAGTATGTGCAGGCGACAAAAGGACGTCAATCAAGCTAATTCAAAAGGGGGATGAGGTACGTAATTTTGTAGTAAACCCCTTTTTGAGAAACACTAGCTTGCAGAATAAATACATACAATCCAGAATAATTAATGCACCAGACGTTGCCAGTGCATGGACATATTACAAAACTGACGGCAGACACTCTTAAATAAACATTTAGTCAATCGAGAAAAAAGTTTGAAATTCTGACTCACACTGGAAATCTTTGGAAATACAAATGAAATCAAACTAGACCCTCTATAAGACTGAAAAGACATTTTAGGAAGATATACTTGAAGATAACATTAGTGTAGAAGTTTGACAGAAAGGTGACCGGCCAATCAGGATACGAACTAAAAATCGCGGAAACAAGGTTTGGACACAAGACAATGAGAACATTTCCTTTTTCTGAAAATTGGTTGGAGGTATAGTAGAGAATATCGCAAAAAAATAAAAATGTTCAATGAGCAATGAGAAAAAACTACTTATCAAACAAGCATTGTCGTTATTAGAGGATCTCACCTCAATCTCTAGAGAGTAAGAAGAAACCCACTCAGTCGGCGAGAAACCCTCAGAAAAACACAGGATGACAAGCGGGCAAAAGCTAAGGGTCTTGCAAAGCACGGTGATTGAATGCATTAGGGAGCTTAATGCATCAGTCAATTCCAGCTGCGCCCAGCGCCCCCCCCCCCCTCCCCCCATCCGGGCTGACCCCCGGGCATTTGCATTTTTTTGGGCCTTGGACTGGGCAAATTCCCGGTGGTGGTGGGGACTCTTGAGCTGTCAAATCCCCCGCGGCGGGGAAAAAAGAGGGAAAATGCCCCGTCCTCCGTCAACGCTGCAACATTTTTCATTAATTGCACAGTCGAATAGTGCCGTTTTAAACATTTTAATGTGCGATTTTTTGTTTCAAGTAACGTCTTCCTTTCAAGAGCCATATGAAAGGATGTTCTTCAAATGATATCAACAGAAATTTGATTCACTAACCAAAAAACGTTGCTTTACGTCGATGGCTCCCGAGTTTCGCAATGTAATTCTGGCTTGATAGGCATTGAAGAAATGCATGCATAAAATCGATAACATGGCTTTACTGAACCCTCTGTCTTTGACAGATGAGCCAATCTGCCTTTTTTCCAGTAATATCCTCTGTTTAGTTTATTCTGATAGGAACCGCGTGCGTGTCAAAAGCTCGGGAATAGCCTAGGGGTTGGCAAATGCACGGCCCCCGGGTAGCGCAAAATTAGCAAATGCCCGCACCCCGGGACTGATAAGGTGGGCAAATGCCTCGCAGTAGCCCGGGGGCGGGGGAGGAGGCTGGGCGCAGCTAGAATTGACACAGCATAAGCAACAACGACGGCGAAGGCTACGAAAGCGTCACTAAAAAAGTCAATTCGCGTTGCTTCAAACCTTATCTCGCTTATTCCATCTCGTTTACTTTGTCAAATTTTGGCAAATGTTTTTGGAGTTGAATTCTAAAGGAATGCATCAAATTTCAGGAAAAGAAAAAGAAAGTTTTTGTCTTATGTTCCCGTCCTCGACAAAACGTGAATTTAGCACTTGCACGTTATGGTCGTGCAGTGACGGCAAAGAAATGTACAAAAAAGCGTGATGTACATGCAGAGTTGTTGTTTTGCCAATCTAAACCTATTGATTTTTTGCCGTTCTCTTTGGCATCGCCGTCACTGACTCGAAATAAGACGCCAACAAACAGTAATGTGCGAAGACGGAACTTTGCTGTTTAGACACAGCTAGTGATAAGCTGGAACATGCGTTTTCAGTTCAATTTCACATTTAAAAGTATTCAATGAGTTTATAGATGACAACCTGTCAAAATAAAACTTGCTGATTCGTTCTTTTTTTGTGGTACACATCATACATGATCCACAATTATGATTTTAAACTCTATTTTCCAATTTTGTTTCCCACCTTGTTCACATCGTTTCCCAATAAATTTAGGTGGACAACTGCAGTTGAATCCGTTGGCTCTGTCAGTGCATGTTCCGTTGTTGAGACAAGGGTTGCTCTTACACTCGTTTATGTCTGTAACAGAATAATATCAAAAGAGGTATCAAAATTAGGACGCCCTTCTATAATTAAGGTTAAGAAAAGCAAAATTTTAGCTAGCTAAAATTGATAATCTAACCAATTTCACATCGATTCCCCGCAAATCCTGGAAAGCAGCTGCAGTTGAATGCATTGATTCGGTCCGTGCAATTTCCGTTGTTCAAACAGGGACTACTCTCACACTCGTTTGTATCTGCAGGAGATATAATCAAAGTAAACTTTTTTAACAGCACAGAAGTCAATTGACACCAGCAAAATGCAATACACACTGAATAGCAATCTCTAAGCTACGTGCAAACGGACGTAACAACTCCCAACGATGTTGGGCGTTGCTGGCCAACAATATTGCGTCTGTTTGCACGGGGCTTATAGTTTGACCGGTTTCAAACGTCGTGCAATGACCCCCAACCCATGACACGCAACGACATGCAACAGGGTGTGCAAACGGACGCTGTTTTAACATGTAACATCCAACAACTGAACGTTGCGTCCATTTGCACGGGGCTTTACATAAATTGCACCTTGNTTAATATTAGACAACGAGCAGTCTCTCTTTTTTCTTGGTCCGTCGAACAAAACGCCCGAAACACGCAAATGACCACGCACGTGAATGAAGGCGCGAGACGGGAAAGGCCGCCCTCGTTTCTCGCGTCTCGCGGCTTCGTTGCTCAACGCTCGCGTGCGAGTGCACTCCCCTTACTAAATCTGAAGGAAAAGAGAGACTGCTCGCAGTCAACATTAACATATGCTTATCACTATCTGATGATGCTAATTAAAAGAAAAATCTCTGAATATTGAAAGGGCATAACAGTTTCAGTTATCTTTGAAACTTTGAGCCAATACACTGAATGGTTTCGGAGAAATTCTTTTCCAAAAACTCGAAATTTTACAGAGAATGAATGGCTCATTGACTTTTTTGCCACCCAGCAATTTCGCAGTTTTTGATGACTGATATTCCCTTGAAAATTACACAAATTGCTCAACTTAATCAGCTTTTTCAACATTTGCATTTAGTTCATATATACGGCCATGGCTTCTACGAGTTAAGTCGTATGCTAATGAGGAAAAGTGTAAACAATGAAGTCAGCAAAGATTCGCTTATAAGGAGAATGAGGTACCAGATCTCGGAGCAGTGATTTCTGGAGTTGTTTGATAGAAAAGCTCCACTTATGACGGATTCGGCATTTGTAAATCTCCCAAAATACACCTTATTTGCCCTAGAAAATTTTGCATAAGCTTTGTTTTATATTTTTTCTGGGTATTATAATCGTTCCAAGAGAAATAAAAAAACAATGGTCATGCAAACTTTTGGGGGGCAAACAAGGTGCATTTTGGGAGAAATTGATGATGTAGACCAATCATAATTAACGCCTATCCTCCCAGAGGTTGTAACCATTTCTTTTGAAGTTTCTGAAGTGGGGGATAAGCTTTGACATTTGAGCACGTCTTAACATGATGAGGTCATTTTAGGGTATAATTAGCTTAAAACTACTATGCTAACCAATTTCACATCGATTGCCAGCAAATCCTGGCGGGCAACTGCAGTTAAATGCATTGATTCGGTCAATGCAAGTTCAGTTGTTCAAACAGGGACTACTCTCATACTCGTTTGTATCTGCAGGAGATATAATCAAAGTAAACTTTTTTAACAGCACAGAAGTCAATTGACACCAGCAAAATGCAATACACACTGAATAGCAATCTCTAAGCTACGTGCAAACGGACGTAACAACTCCCAACGATGTTGGGCGTTGCTGGCCAACAATATTGCGTCTGTTTGCACGGGGCTTATAGTTTGACCGGTTTCAAACGTCGTGCAATGACCCCCAACCCATGACACGCAACGACATGCAACAGGGTGTGCAAACGGACGCTGTTTTAACATGTAACATCCAACAACTGAACGTTGCGTCCATTTGCACGGGGCTTTACATAAATTGCACCTTGCGTGTGACAATTATTGGCTGCTTTTACACTTATGTAATTCTCTATAACGGAAACTATAAGAGCAATTGGCACCAGCTCTCAAAGTAACGATTTCTGGGATCGTTTGGTGGACAAGCGTTAATGCTTTTGTTTGATTAATGGTTGCTTTGAATACCATCGACCAATCATAATTAACTCTTGTACACCCAACCGATCCCAGAAATCACTGATCCCAAAGGTTTAACCCATTTCCTTTGAAGTTTCTGAAGTGGGTGATACGCGTTAACATTTGAGCCCGTCTTAACCTTACGAGGTCATTATAGGGTAATTAGCTTAACACTATACTAACCAATTTCACATCGATTGCCAGAAAATCCAGGCGGGCAACTGCAGTTGAATGCATTGATTCTGTCAGTGCACGTTCCGTTGTTTAAACAGGGACTGCTCTCACACTCGTTTGTATCTGAAGGAAACAATAGTCACAGATAATTGCCAACAAAAAAATAAACAAAACACCACTTTTACGGAGGGTTCTTTACTGCATAGACTTTAACGAATTGAAACCTGCGAAAGAAAGTTATAAATGCAAATAAGTCTCTTCTTTAAAAAAGAAAAACAACAATAAATGAACATACAAGACCACAACCGCATGCCATTTTCAAGCCCATAAACAATACAAATAACAGCTAAACACAGCTTACCAATTTCACATCGATCGCCCGAAAATCCTGGTGGACAACTGCAGTTGAATCCGTTGCCTCGGTCGGTGCATGTTCCATTGTTTAAACAAGGACTACTCTCACATTCGTTTATATCTAAGGGAAATATAATAAAAATTAATGACAAATAAATATGTATGCGTTAATGACCAAAGTTCTTCGGCCGAGATAAATGCGTTATTATTGGCCAATTTTTTTTTCGGCATTTTCCGCACGGACCGAGGGGAATTCGAGGTCAATGAAATTGCAAAACATATATCCGGTGGACCCTAGAGCTGTCCGATCAAAACGTGTGTTGGTATAACATCATTAACATTGCCGAATGATGTAGGATCCATGCAGGATTTAAAATTGATCCACATTTATCAGCCAACCGCATTAAACAGCGTCCAACATTAGGTGTTAAAACGGACACATGGCATGTTGCGTTGGCGGAAATGCAATGCGAATAGCAGCAACAAGTATCTGACCAATTTCGCATCGGTTGCCAGCAAATCCTGGAGGGCAACTGCAGTTGAAGCCATTGATTAAGTCGATGCAAGTTCCTTTGTTCAAACAAGTAATATTGACACAGTCATTTATATCTGCAGGAGAGAGAATCAAAGATATTAAAAGAAAATGATATGTACCTTTCAGCCAAGGTACATTAGACTTCAGCAAGAGTTCAAACACAACTAGGAAATGTAAACGTTGTTCTAGAGGTTGATAGAGAAACCTGTCTATAAATAAGCCACTTTATCGATCAAGCAGGGAAATTGAATTTTTTTGTGGTCGGGTAACTATAAGGAAAAGTAAAAGTTCAGCGTGATACTTATTATTTACTTTTCTTTCAAAGTTGGTTTTTAATCTTCTCGGTTAGATTTTTTTTTAGTGAGCTCAAAGTTAATGATATAATACCTAGAATCAGTACAAAAGCTTTATGCTGATTGCCGTTCCCACTTGCAATTTGCGTTAATAGTGTGTCACCTGTGATTGTATTATAGTTAGGAGCAACATTGTTTCAACTCAGTATTTCTTACTCGTTTCGCAGTCTTTTCCAGTGAATCCTCCCACGCAGATACACTTATATCCATTTTCCTGGTACAACGAAAAGCATTTTCCAGTGTTCTTACAGGGCGAACTGTCAAAAGGAGACTACACAAAGGAAAGGATACTGCTGTAAGTAAAGACCATTTTACAATGTATGTCAAAGTCAAAATATCCAGTAACGTGACGCATATCATTTATCCATATTAGACAGATGCTGAATATACGACAAATTCAGTTATTGACTATTCAGTTATTAACACAATTATTCCACCTGCGCGTTGTTGTATATAGGCTGGCTATAATATAATCGTCTCGGATGGAACAAGTGAGAGTTGAATAATTGTTTTATTTCGTTATTTTGTTACTACCGTATGAGAAAAGACAAGGCACTTCCACCTTTCAGTCTAGCGAAACTGTCATTGGTCATATCTGTGTCTAAGCGAACGGACTGACTGAATAAAAAATAAAGAAATGAATGAATAAATACGTACATAAATAAATAAAACATCTTAGCGGTTAACACTTTCAAAAATTCATCGGGATTCTACTTTGCTCGACAGCTAAAATGATCGCCGATGATCTGAAATTTGAATTTCATATTTAGCGCCAAAGGAGTTACAAGCTAAAATTTCCTTCGGTTGGCATGCAATAAGCTCGTGTAATTAAATATAGTGAATGCCATATGAATGGCTATATTTCAAAGACCTATATAACTACCAATTGCAAGAATACTTTTGATCAACAACATACCGAGCGGGGGCAGCTGTAGTGTTAACTAAAAATTACTAGTTTAGGTTCGACGCATGTGATTCATATTACTTTCTCAATACTTTTGGCGTTATGCCTTTTACAAGACTTTTTGTTGCTGTAACAAAATATTGTAGCACTACCACCGCCAGTAAGATATAGGTTTAAAATTCAATGAGGTGATGTAAAAAGAGGCCTGTGCTGGAAGGGAAGCTTTAAAAGAGCTTAAAAGGAAAAAAATGGAAATTGGGAATTGGTAATACCGATTTGTAGTGCAGTCACAAAAACCGTTTACAGAGATCAAAATACGAACAGTCTGATAGTTACCATTGAAAATTATAGCTTTAAATGTGCGTCGCTATGGCAATATTCAACAGGAAAGGCAAACACAAGTAAGTTCCCTAGCCGTTGACGTTGTTCTATTTTTCTTTTCGTTCTTTTCAAAAACATCGGCGAGCTCGCGAGCGAAGTGAGCGCACGAGAACGAACGCACCACTACCCCCACCACTACCACTACCCCCTTGCGCTGGTGGTTAATAAATCCCCTGCGGTTTATATTTATTTTCACCCGCGTTCGACGGACTTTGAAGAGGAACTAGAGGGCCTGTGAACAGGCTATAAGTTCCCTGGCTCCCATTTGTTATTTTCCTTGAAAAGCATCAACAAGGCATAAATACGAATTTGCTCTATTAATTGTATAGACCTCTTTAGCTTGTATGTTTTGTTTTACCAGTATAGGTAGCTTATTCATGTTACTATGGTAATATCAACTTAACAGGACAAGAAACACACTGTGAAAATGGAATTAAGTTTACCTGGTCTTTAAGTTAATTTACTTTAAGTATAGAAAACTAGAGCAGTTTTCTTATCTTCATTACAAACCCTTGGTCCTATTGTAAATCTATAAAGTTATGAAATACAAGTTCGCTTGAATTTTAGTTCCTTCTCCCCCTTTCGGTTTGTTTCCTACATCAGTAAAAATCGAATTTGGCATTCATGTCGATGTATAGATGTCATTTGAACAGGGCTAAGCCGGGTCTGTTCTCTCGTCTTCGTTAGAGGTTTTCGAACCGCGAACTTAACGCTAATTTGTGAACTAAATTTTTGGCGCTGTTACCGATCGCGATTTTATTCCGATTATTCCTTCTTACCTATTTTGTCAAATGTACGCGAACCCTTGTGAATTTCAATTCCAAGGGACCATATTCGAATTCAAAAAGCGAAATAACCTGTGGCAAAAACGGCAAAGAAATTTACAAAAAAAAGGATCGTGCTTATTAAACCTATTGTTTTTTAAACGTTCTCGTTGCCGTCCTGTCGTTGAATCGTATAAAATAAAGCCGTTAATGGCAGAAGGCTAAAACGATGAAGATGTATTAAAGTTAATTTAAAGAAAAGTCAGCGTATCCCTAACACGTTTTGTTGGCAAATATTTTGTTCGGAAGCTCTGTTTTAACCTGTCCACGGCCATAAACTTAATTAGGACATTCGAAGATAAATATAACGATTAATTTCATAAAGTATGTCTGGGATAGTTTAATTAGAAGTCAGCAGGTGTTTTACTACTGAAGAACAACTTTTTTCGTGTTCCTTTTTCTATTTTTCCTTCTTTTTTATATAGCTTGAACGCAAAATAACAAGCCAACTTGTTTCTCTTTGCATTTAAAGTACAGTTCAGTGCATTGGAGATTCTCCAAGCAAATTAAGAGATATATGTCCTATTTACAAAAGCTAACTTCCGAAAACCATAACTTGGGGAATAATACGACGGTCTTTTATTTTCCTTCATATGAAGAGTTGTGATGAACAAGTTGTTTGACTCACCGGAATATAAAAGTGATGAAACTCTTTGCTGTCATTGAACTTGTCCGAGTTGTTAAACTTGTCTGAGGGCAGGAGTTCACAAAGAAGTTTGCCGTTGACATCAGGGAAGGCAGCCACATTGTAGGAAAAACATGAAGGAATTTCTAGACAGGCGTAGCCACAATCGTTTTCGTCTTGAATAAGATTCCGCCCAATGCTTGTGATATTCAGGTAGGAAAATTCACTTATCATGAAGTTGGCGTAGAAAAAGTTGCCAATCGATCCTTGACTGAAAGCTGTAAGGAAAAAGTAAAAAAAGAATGAAAGCTTTAGGAATGTACTGAAATCTGATCGAAGGGACCCAGACTACTAAAATACAGACTACACGAACACAGGTTAGAGTGTCACCTGTAGAAATACTTGGAAATGTAGCAAAGATCCCCATTACGACGACATAGTTTCTGAGAAGTAGTGGATAGCCTTCCATGTTATTAGAGTAAGTCGCAGCGCAGTCGGCCACGGTCTTGTTCAAAAATTTACCTTTGTTTGAAGAAAGCTTCAGTTGCCTAGGTCTAAATGCGTTTGTTAGCTTCCTTGCTGTCAAAACAGACTGAAATTTGATCTTTTTATTGCATTGATAGACACGTGGTGTTGCACCTCTTTGACAAACTGCTATACTCTAAGTAAATTCAAAAAAGGGCTTCTACTTGACAAAATTACTTCCAACTAATTGAATACTGAAGACAGTTTTCAAACAATTTTTTAAGCAATTAAGCAAATTCCTTTCTTATTAAGTTCAGAGCCAAATTATTGTAAATTTGTTCTTTCCTTTTCTGAAGAGGGCTATCTTTCCACCCTATAGTCCAGTCTTTTGTTACAGTTTAGAATCTAACTTAGCTAAGTGTAGGTAATTATGCAAATCGAAAAAAAAATGTTGACGTGTAAAATAATTTCATTAAATGGTCTGAATTTAGGTTAAAGTTGGAAATCATCTGTATAAAGGCTTGTTAATATTGATGACTCGTAAATGTCAATAAATAAATGATAGTTGTAGGGATATAGCTATTTAAAAACACGTACGTACGCATGTGCGTACTTGAAAAGGGTTAGTTAATAAAAGCAAAACCCAGGGTAACGACATGTTTACAGCAAAACCTTCACATCCTGCTTTAACCCTCATGAGTCTCAAACTAAATCGTACATCAAAGGAAAAGAAACAAACAAAACAAAAGAAAACAAACAAAAAAAATAAAATGTGCTATTAGAAATCGAGAGGAGACGTTGTTACGTCACGTTGCCATGGTAGAAAAACTTTTAGATCACTACAAACCTCGGTCCTGCAAATATGGCAGGAAAAAAATATATATATGTGTGTGAATTTTGGGGGCATGATTGCACTCATGATCAGGAACAGAACGGCAGCCCATCGGCTTTTTGTCAGTCGTTGGAAAATGAAAATGACCGTCAGGCTGTATCAAGAAAGGTTGTCGAGATTCAGAAATTTTGCTTCCATGGTAACGTGGCGTTTCTCCTTTCTCTAAGGAAGGGCACAATAAGAGTAGGAAACTAGAGGAAAGTGACAACGTGTACTGAGATTTAAATTTCCCGTGCAACATGGGCTGCCGACCAACTTAAAATTGCTTCCGCTTAGCAGTTTGGTTTAATCAGAAAGTCAAAAAATTCCAAAGGCGTATTTGGTAGATGATGCTCCGTATAATGGGCTCCGTCCACAGGGGGATAATTTTGACATCCATTCATTATAAAGAGGGCATGTCTGTTTTGTCCTCTCATCCATGACTCCTTCCATCCTTTCTTCCTTGTAACAAACGGTCCGCCTTATGAGAGGAACCTAACATCACTAAGTTTACAAGGCATCTATCAAAAAGGGTCATGTAGCAGCTCTCCTAACCATAAAAGCCAATTGGTTCGATACCCTAACCGTGAAACAATGGGAAATAATGAAAAACAATGATAAGTTATTGTTTTTTTAACCAATGAGGAAACACCTTACGAGCAGCTCCCACATCACTGATCAAAAAAGTAGATCGCTGGATAATCTCCTCTGCATGGCGAATGAATGATGTCTCGTTGAAGTAATATCATCAGGATATTTATTTGAAGAAAGAGCTAAATCGACGACAAAAACTTAATGAAAACTCGAACTTATAAACAAACGGCATGCCTACCAGAAATACCCAGCGAACTCAAGTAAGCCGTGTTAGTAAACCTATTTAAGAAAACAACATCAACCTTAGATCAATGCCAATCAAGAATAGGGTACTTAAAACATAGCCTAAGCTCCGATCTACCTTTACAGCTTCATTGACTAACTTTTAATCTAAATACCAGCCGCATTAAAAGTCTATATATATATATATATATATATATATACTGAAAGCAGTACTGTCAGTTGCTAACAGTAGAAGGGGCCGACTTGTTGCCCCTCACACTACCAAAACAAGACAAACAAGGTAGCAACAGTATTCGCCGAGTGTACTTTTAAGCTCACCTCTCAGAAACACCCTTCAGTCGACAAATCAAACTATTCTAGCTCCACAAAGTAAAGCAACCAGTAGAATTTTAAAACTGAAAACTCGCAAAACTTCGCTAGGCTTGAGGGAGGGAGGGTGGCCTATAAAACGTTGGGGATGGGGGGGAGGGATTGTGTAACTGTGGAGGGTAGATTTTAAAACTTGCTCTAATACTAGAAGCTAACGAATATTCAATCCTTTTGGTTGAAGTAAATTTGAAGTCATTCCACTCACTTTAAAAAGGAAGGGATGGGATCTGGTGTTGCAAGTCAAGTCAATTTTTATTTAAACTCAAACAGAATAATAATTAAGGTAATTCCGTTGAAATTGTTCCACTATCAAACATTTTTTTTGAAACTTGGCATAATCAATATTCATGA